CCAATAGATCTCCTGTTGTTCCAAAACATTATATTAAATAAACTCAAGATACAGCTCAACAAAAAGACTGAGAATGAGGTGTTTAGAATATAAGCTTTATAATATTAGGTCATCAAGAGATTAATGTTGCTTGTTTTTAGATGAAAAACCCCAAACAACTTGTATATCAAAACAAAACATTTATTAAATGAAGTAGTCTTCATTCTTATCGATGATGCTTTTCTATTTTACAGCCAGGTTGTTAATGCCCTGATGAAAGAAATTGCTTGGCTTTGAAGCAAAAACATGTCAGTGTCCTCTTTAACACCTTCTACTTTTGCATGTGTTTTTCCATTAAGATGGTGTTGCAGCAAATGAAAAAGATGGTAATCTGATGGTGCCACATCTGGAGAATATGGTGGGTGGGGGAGAACTTCCCAACCCACCTCCATAATCTTGTGTTGCATCAAATATGCCACATGTGGACGTGCATTATCACGGAGAAGAAGAACACCTTTCCGATTGATGAGTGAAAGGCATTTCTAATGAAGGGCTTGATTTAAACATTTCAGTTGCTGACTATAGATCTCTGCATTGAAAGTTTGCTGTGGATTGAGGAGTTCGAAATGAATTACTTCTTTGATGTCCCACCAAATACAAAGCATCACTTTCTGCGGATGGAGTGCAGGTTTTGGGGTCAGAAGTGGTTTTTGTCTGGGACTGAGCCATTGTTTTTGGCAGTTAATATTTGCAGAGAGAATCCATTTTTCATCACTGGTAACAATTCTGTCCAAAAATGGTTTACACACCAGAAGAAACGAAACAAGGTTCACATGTTGGAAACAATGATCATCGGAGAGTTTATGAGGTACTCAGACACCTTCTTTGAGGTGTTTTCCCATACTCCTTAGATGTTATGTATTGTTTAATGAGATAGTACAATTTCAGGGCCATTTCACGTGTGTGTTGCCTTGGGTTAGACTCAACAAGTGTCTTCAGAGCATCAGTATTAATTCCAATATGTCGGCCCCTGCCATCACAGTTTTAAGACTAAAGTTACCAGAATGAAATTTGCTGAACCATTGTTGACACTTATGAATGTTCAAAACATTTCCATAAACTTTGATATTTTTTGTGGCTACAGAGGCATTGTTTCCCTTGTATTCAAACAGCATTACATGCCAAACGTGTGTCTTGTTGTGTGCCATCACTATAAGGGATTAGAGTATACTAAATTTTACACATTATATAGGCTACACTAATGTGATGTTTAAGCAGTTTGTTTAACTATTATACATGATGTACGTTTTTGGGGGGGGTGGTTAATGAAAGTGTTACAAAATGCGACGTTAATTTCTTGATGACCTAATAATTAACAAAAATGAAAGAATAGCATCTTACAAAACTACTTAGTTATAAAATGTAAATATTATTTGATTTTTATTTTAATACACTTTTTTATTTTTAACATCAAATGAAGGTGAAGAATGAGACATCTGTTGTGGTTTTAAATGTTTTGGAGCTCCAAGTGAAGCTGGCTCGCTTCACTAGAGAAGGTGGATTAGGTAAGTGCTTGCTAATTGTTTGGTTGGTCATATGAGCTCTGATTGTATTTTTGGTGCTTGGTTCCTCGGATTGATTGTTTTAATTCCTATTAGATAAAAATGTTTAGGTTTTTTTGTTATAAGTGCATGTTGTTTTGTAAGCATAATATATATTTTGAAAATATTTAAGTGTTTAAGTTTAGGTTGTATTTATTTGTTATGCAAGACGAAAAAACATAAATGTAATAAAATAAAAACAACCATTTTCTTGACATAAAAAGAAATTAATTTAGTCAGAATAAAGTTTTTCAGATTTAGTTTTAATCTGATAGGAACCAAATATGAAAACGTGTCTTAGTAAAATTTCAATACCCCTTATTATAAACTTATAATTTTAAACTAATTATTAAGCCTTGTACTAGTATCATAATATCCAAATTAAGCTTAAGGTAATTTTTGCTAATTCTAGTTCAGAATTAGTATCATTTTTATGGTTAGTGTATGAAGAAATAAGTCTTACTATTTATTTTAAAGTTGTTTAGAAAGGTTGCATCTTGCTTAATAATATGGCAGAGATCCTAATCAGAAGTTGTTGAAAGTTTTTATTTTCCAAGACTAAAAGTAAATAAGAAACAGTATTATAGCATTTAAATCAGGAAGATGGAAATCTATAAATTTTGCTGTAATGAATAGTCCAACTTGATATTTGATAATCCTTTGAGGAATGTTTTATATCAGTTACTTGTGGAAAATCAGATCAAGTATTAAAAGTTTCATCTATATTCAGTGTTTTTCAGTATTTTTCTGATTATGTTTTTTGAGTATTAGCATTGCTTTCTTGCTGCAAAAAAACATTTGCATGTTAAATACTTGTTGAGCTTTTTTAATTGCATGCTTAGGGGATTTATTATTTTCTTTGCTGATGTGCTGGTCTCTTGAAGAAAAACTGTAGATATTTTAGTTCAGCTTAGATAACACTTTTATAGAAAAAAGTGCTATCCATCCTACAATATGCTTATGTCATTATCAGGACTTTGTATTCTAGCCTTCTTCAGTGATACTGGTTAAATGCTATATTGTATAAGCACAGTATTAGTGAGTTTAAATATGAATTTATTGTATTGAATTATTTGTGGTCATTTTCCATCACAATTCTCCTGTCGTGGAATAGAGATTGACTGGTACCATTCTAAAGTTCAACACAAGAAGGATGAAGGAACTGAAAATATTGTTTATTTGTGTTGTTTATTAGTAACAACAAACCAACTTCCACTTTTAATTCCTAAAAATAATTACTTTATTTCTTTTTCACCAAGAACAAAATGCCACAAATATTAAAGTATCTCAAGATGATGAAAGACTGATACTGACCTTTGATCAGCCTTTGACTGTTGGTAAGGGTGAATTGTATTTGGAGTTTTGTGGAGTTCTTAATGAGAAGATGAAGGGGTTTTATCGCAGCAAATACACAACCCTTGAAGGTGAAGTACGTTATGCAGCAGTGACACAGTTTGAGGTATGAAGATTTAAAAACAATCTTGTATAAGCTGGTGAGATAAGAACAAAGGCTGATATCAGTTTTAAAAGTTTGAATTATGATTTGTTAAAATCTTTGAAAAAATCACCATTATGTTATTTAACTTTTCTTTCTTACGATTTACTCTCCTGTATTGTAATTTCCATGCCTGTCCAGTTAGATGTAAAAGACATCACAAGGAATTTGTTTAATCAAATTAATATCAAAATTGGGATGTGGACTGTCATCATTTCAGGTTAACCATTTTAGAATAATAATTTGTAATTTTCATGGTATATTGAGGGAAAAAAGTATACAAATATTGTATATATATATGAAAGATTGTGTTATATTCCTGTTTAAGTTAAATACTTATTAAAAAAAGGGTTAGCTCACACCTCTAGGCAAGGAATCACAATATGGGAAACAGTTTAATTTTGATTAGAAGGATATACATATAAATGATTTATAATACAAAATTCCCTATAAAGTTTAATGATTAGGATAATGATAATGCAGTAATTAATCATGACTGTTAATGGCAACTTTTGTTTTTGTCATAAACACAATTTAAAAAGCCAAACATTTCCCAAGGACTTAGATTTAGAAAGGTGTACTTAAAGTAAAACATGTTGAGTTTCAGTGTATTTATTTGGTTGAAGTTCATAATAGCTTTTGAAAAGTAGTCAATTTTGAGTCAGAGCATGGTCAGCAAAAATTTTTTATTTAACTTTTCTTTGGGGATTTTTGTGGATAATAATATATCGTTAGTTATCTTTTAGTATTTTAACTAATGAACACATTTTGACGAAAGAGGTTGGTTTTCCTTATAGATGTACACTAAAGACTAGTTCACATATATACAGTATATTTAGTTAACATGTTAATTTGTATGCCTGTGAAATAATTTTACTTTTCTGTACATTATTAAAGTCAGAGGTAATAATATTTCCTTTTTAATCCTTGCAGTTATCATATCATTAATATGAAATGAAAATGTTCATATAACTTTGTTATGTAATTCAAAAACTACACCTTCAACGGGAATAAGCTGAGGATAAGTTTCAATTGTTAATGCTTTGTAAGTTCTGAGTACCAAACAGTATTTTGAATTGTTTTTGTGTAATTCTATATAACTTAGCCAACTGATGCTAGACGTGCATTTCCATGCTGGGATGAACCTGCTTTGAAAGCAACCTTTGATATTTCACTCATAGCTGCAAAAGATCTTGTTACTCTTTCAAACATGGTAAGTTTTTAATGGAAATGTCTTGAAAATAACAGTTATAGTATTGTTTTACCAAATATATATCTTTTTATGTTATAAATTCGTTGAAGATAATAATATTACAAAATTCATGTAAAACAATCATGCAATATTTTCCTTAAAGAATTTGTGAAGTAGGGCATTGAATAGGTTATGAAACCTAGACTTCTGTTTCTCCACCTTGTATGTATGAATATGTAATACTGGAAATAGTTATGGAAATATCAAATGAAATGGACATAAAATACAAGATTGCTATCCCCTCTATTGGATGAAAATCAACTGTACCAGTGTGCAGTCATGTACTGATAGTTTACACTGATTCGCTGTCTTACTACCAATCAGCCATAATGACTACAAAGTGCTGACAGTCGTACTCTTCCCAGTAGTAAAGTTGTGAACGCAATCATGGCTCCCAGTACTGAAATGAAAATTTAAAATTATGTAGAGATCAAATTTTTTGGCTACTTAAGGTTACTCTATGTGAAATAAGGTAAATTTCATGTTTGTATATAATATGTATGGAAACTAAAGAAGGTATGTGAAACTAGTACTGTTGATATTAGAAGTGGCAAGGCAAAAAAGTCCAAACTTTTCATAAACACCAATATTAGTATAGGCTGCATCTTATCCAGAGTTGTTGGAAATCTACCTAAGAGTGATGGTATTCTGAATGCTAATAGTTATAAGCATATCCTTATCTATCATATCATTGCATTAGGAATGCTCCCTCTCCCCAGTGGCACAGCAGTATGTCTATGGACTTATACTACAAGAAACCGGGTTTTGATACCATTGTGTAGCTTTGTACTTAATAACAAACAACAACAACTATCAGGAATGAAACCTGCTAGGCAAGGATTCAATTTACAGCAAGACATTGATCTCAAGTATGCTTAATGTGTTGGTACAATATCAGGAAGAAGGCAGATGGAACACTTGCAACAATGGCAACAGTATGAATATTAATAAATCTCTATTGGCTTATGTAGAAACTGAGAAACTCAAATAGCATCAAAACAGTTTTCCTGAATTTTGAGTAAAATTACAGGACATTTGGAATAATATATTTCAGTCATAAAAAAAAAAATGCACTGCTCTGTTCAAAGCAAAATATTAGTGCATTGTTTATTTAACTTATTTATTTTTCTTTCATATTTTCTGTAATATTGTATTTTACAAATTGGTCGATCTTGAGTGAGATATGTTATGAAGGCTATTTAATGTTCAATAGCAAATGAACCATCAGAATATTATTAATTATGAAACATTGAAAAGGGATACATGCAATATAATTATTATTTATAATTTTACATTTTTTGCTTTAAACGTAATTGTATTAATGCAACCTGAAGTAATTTTTGTTTCAATCTTTTTAAGTTATAAAAGTAACAGGTACATCTTATACAAAAGTTTTTATTCAATTTTGATAGTTAAGATATCATTTTATCATAGTTGGTTGATTCAATTTTTATTTTGTAGCACTAGCATTTTGCTTTATTTTATTATTGTTAATGTATTTTTTATTTTTTTTTGCTTTTATTAATTTGAAGCACTTCTAGTTTATTTGATTTTTCCTGTAATGTGAGATATCTAGTAATCAGATCCTTTGATTTTTTTTGTAATATATGAACTTGATTTTAAAAAGAGGAACAGTATGTAAACTGGTCTGTATCAATCTTTTGTAAACTCAGAAGTCAGTAATAGTGACCTTTAGCACTTCTAATTTTGTACCATTATAGTAACTAATTTATCAAGGCAGTAATGCCCAATAAAAATAACAATTTACAGCAGGGTAGTTTTAGGTAATAAATGTCTCCCAGTGGGACAGCAGTAAGTTTATATACTTACAATGGTAAAATCCAGGATTTAATTCCCCATGGGGATACAGCAGCTAGCTCAATGTGACTTTAGTCTAAAACGACAAACTTCTGTAATAAATATGGTAATGTTAAGTCATTTTACCAACTTCTTGGAAAGTATAATTCATAAGAAGGTTTTACTTTAAAATTTTAACTGTTTCTACTAGAGAATTGAAAGTTAAATAAAATTAATAATTGTTGCAACATTCCATGATGTTGACTAAAACGTAATTATGTCCATAGGTTGTTTCTTATATTATGTTTCATTTGTAAACTCATTATCTGTTTTATTTTCTTTACTGTCATCCACAGAACATTGTTAGCAGTAAACCTGTAGCCACAAATCCTGAACTGAAAGAAGTACAGTTTGCAACCTCTCCAGTTATGTCTACGTATCTAGTGGCCGTAGTGGTGGGTGAGTTTGATTATGTGGAGGAACAGTCTGGTGATGGAGTACAAGTGAGAGTATACACACCAGTTGGGAAACAGGAGCAGGGAAGATTTGCTCTGGAGGTAGGTTTTAAACACTCTTTTCTAGACTGTTTATTTACAGGTTTCTTGTTCACCAGAGGTGAACAATATAAATAAACAGTGAGGAGAAGGCTAAATAGTGTAATTTTGTGACTTTTTGTTTCACACAGCTTCATTCTAAATTCAAGAAAGTGATCCCATATGAAATGTACTTGAAAGGCAAAGAGTGATTGATAACTGTTTTGAATTATCCAGCAAAGATTGAATTTGTTTTCAACTTTCTTCAAGGTACCAACTGTTATGGAATTTCATAAGTTATATAATGAAATATTTTTTTAGTTCTAAACCTTTATGTGTAAGACTCGTCGTATTTAGCTGTGTTTTACACTGATACCAATATATGCACAGTGTGTAGCTTATGCCAGTTTTTTCATTGTATTAGAAATAATGGGAAGACTTTAATATTCATGAATAAGCTCACATTCTTACTTTATTAGCACATATTGGTTGAAATTTAAGTACCATACATAACCACCATTTGCATTCTAGTCATTGAGATTTATTGGTGAGTCCCATTATTGGTAGGTTTGTCTGTCCAGTTTGAATAATTTTTTGAAAAAGGTAAAAACAAGTATCTTGTCAGTTGTAAAGCAAGGTTTTGGTTATATATTACTACAAATTATACTGAGACTAAGAAACAAGTAATTTATAATCACCTTTCATATTTCTGAACTTTCTGACAGTATATACCACCACATGTAGATGGTTATTGTTTGTATACCCTTTTCTATTTAATCCTTAAACTTAACAACTAGTAGCTAAATGTTTTTAATTGTTCATGGTACTATCCTACCTGTATGTAAACCCACTAACAGCGAAAAAATGTGTGTGTGAATATTTCCATAAATTTTTATTTCTTGGACATTCCTCACTTTCCAAGTAGAACCAAACTAGTCTCATAAAACTGAAATGCCACAACCACCAAAATCTTGTCTTTGTACTGTGTAACACTACTAACGATGAGAGTAACTAACCTACAAGCACATGTTTAAGTTGTATATTGTATGTTCATACTCTTCAACCTAGGATTTTGAGAAATTATTAGTAGAGAAAAGGGAAATGTTTAGTTAAATCAGCAGAAATTTGATACACAATGAGCACAGACATTGCTTACATTTTAACAATAGTTTCTGTGACTCAGACTGTTTCCCATTAGACTTTCCTTTCTACTCCAACTTTTCTAACTAAGCCTAAGTAAGTGTCAGTATACTAAGCCTACCAAGTGTGAGTTTATTTTATATAGATAACAAATAAAAAGTCATTATGTAATAATTAATTTTAAAGTTAAAAGTAAGGTAAAAGTTTTTCTTTGGAATAAATGTAGTTGAAAATTGTATTTATTTCTCAATTCCCTGCCAAAAGTTTAAATGCTTTCACAGTTTCAGTTTGCAGGTGTTTTTGACAATTGATATCTGTGATAATTATTGTTTTTAGAAAGTTCAGAAATGTCGGAGAGCATGTTAAATATTTTTTTGTATTAAAATCTTAAGGATAGTAGCATTAGATACTTACTAAATTAAGCACTTTTTTTTTTAGTTATTGACAGTACGTTTAATATTTCATTAAAATTGTTTCTGTGTATTCATAAATAACTTTAGCTTTTGTGAACAATATACGAAATGCATAATTTTTGTGATAGAAGGTTTCATGTTGAGAATTGTCATTGTAAATATAAAATATATTTCTTGTACAGAAAGAAAAACTTATATTTTATATTTTGAACCAGGTTGCCTGTAAAGCTCTACCATTCTACAAGCAGTATTTCAACATAGCTTACCCATTACCAAAAATGGATTTGATAGCTATATCAGATTTTTCTGCTGGTAAGATCTTTGAAAAGGAAATTATAAAACTAATTTAAGAGCTCACATATTGTCAGAGTTTTCTGATTAAAACTTCACGAATCAGATGATCTGGCCAAGGAACCTGTGTGTTAAATTATGTAAATTAGTTAGCTTGAGAAGTAGAAGTAATTTATCAGAAGATGACATGAGATGAATTACATTCACTCAGTAATGATTAATTTAATTTAAAGGTCCTGCTTGCATATCTTGCAATGTGTGTATAAATGTATTATAGTGTGTAAAGTTTTGGTTTTAGTCTATAAAGTGGTGTTATCTCATTGCATACGGCCTAACTCTTTTTCCACATATTTTGACTATTTACAGTGTTATATTCACAGTTTAATTAAATGACTATTATCAATGTATGCCAAAAAAATTTGGTATAAAGTTGTAGTTTATATTCCAGATATTTTACGTTATCTAAGTTTTAACCTAGGAATTTTAATAGGATGTGTGTAAAAGATTTTCAGTCATTATTTTGCTTTGTCATGTGATACATTGAACTTTAACCTCTGAACTTTGGAATTTTGTAACATCAAAAGTAGGATAATGTGGTTTCTGACCAAATAGAAATACAAACTGCACATATTTACAAAAATAATTTAAAGTTTGAATTTTCTACCTTCTTGATTTGCTGAGATATTAATAAATTTGTCAAACCCATCAGAGAATCCCCTTCCCCCTCTCTGACTTTTAGAGATTCTTTGAAAATCAATCTTACATGACTTATGGACATGTTTATAGCTAATAAAAAAGAACAGATTCTCCTCTACATAAGTCTTATAAGTCACTCTTTAGTTTTCCTGTCATTAGTTAGTGGAATTACTTGGTATGGTGACTAAATTTTGGTGCTCTGAATGGTGCAGGAATTTTTTAAACCTGTTTATAGCTTACTTAGAAAGCCAGGTAAATTACAGTAGTTTTTGGACATTCTATTCTAGTGACTCGTATGTTTTATGTCCTAAAATGCATAATTGACAACTACATGATTCTTTTTTTTGGACACCCATATTTGTGAGGCTTACTAAAGAACAACTAAAATTTACACGAGTTCAAAAGAGTCCGAGTATGCAGTAAGTACTATAAATTCTTATTTTATTTTACTGATGTTAGACTAAGTTTCTAATATTTACATTTCAGTTACTTTTGTTTAAAAAAAATGTGTAACAATAAATAAAGTATATACAAAAAAAAATTTAAATTTCACAAGCTTAAGTGCTATGTGAAATGTTACACTCAACAAACACAGAAAACTGTGTGTTCCTGCTGTGATTTATTTTCTGTGGGGTTTTGTCTGATCAAATGCTCTTCAAAAACATGTGATTTAAATGTTTCAGGTGCCATGGAAAATTGGGGGTTAGTCACCTACCGCGAAACGTGTCTTCTTGTTGATCCACAGAATACCTCGGCTGATCGCAAGCAGTGGATTGCCCTCGTGGTTGGGCATGAGCTTGCTCACCAGTGGTTTGGTAATCTAGTAACCATGGTGAGGATTAATTTTTATTATTTACACTGTGGATGTTGGTAATTTTAGTTTGACATTTCAACAGCTAACCATGCAGAAAAGTTATTTTAAAAAAGTTTAAATAAAATTTTATGTTCTACAATTTATTGCTGTGCTGGTCATCACTGAAAAAGTAAATTTGTTGTAAAAGGTTCACTTTTCAGGGAAATTGTTTTTCTTTTCTAAAACATACTAAAAATTGGCTCATGTCATTGAACAATTTGGGTGTTTCAAGTACAAGAAAAAAAGGAAGCATTGTGTGTACAATATATTACTATGTGACATCTCCAATAAATAAGTTAACAGCTTAAAAAAATAATGTGCCAGCTAATATACCTGAATTTTTATCAATTTTGGTGGTATTGAAATAAGATTCAAAATGTATGTAATACTCTGCTTGTTTCAAAAGGTCATTGAAAATTGTTGCTCTAACATGGAAAAAATCACAAGTTACATATAGTAAACAGATAATGCAATTTTATTTCTTTAAGTCTCATTTATCCAAAATAATTTTGATGTCTTGTGTGTATAGTCTAGTCTCTACCACATGCTTGCTAAGAATTGCTGTTAAAATATTTTACTTAAAGATGGGTTTTATATCATACATTTTTCAACTAGTTAAAACTGTAAAACAAAAACCTAAATGTTTTAACTAAAATTTTTAATCCTATTCCAATAGCTAGTATTTAATAAGATAAGGCTATTTGTAGGGCTGTTAAACATGTTTATAGTAACGTGACACTGGAAAAATTCTTTATGTTTGTTTTAAATTAACTTCTATTTAATGTTTTATTTTTGTGAAATATTTCAGGAATGGTGGACTCATCTTTGGTTGAATGAAGGTTTTGCATCATTTATTGAGTTCCTGTGTGTCAACCACCTGTTTCCTGAATATGAAATTTGGACTCAGTTTGTGACTGATGTCTATACTCGTGCTCTGGAGCTTGATGCTTTGCACAACAGTCATCCAATTGAGGTGAGTTAGAATGGCCTTACCTGCAATCTTAATAAATTTAGACAAGTAAATGGTGTTACTGTGTATGAAGACTTAGATCTAAACTTAGAAGTTGGGTTTTAATCCATTCCAACCACTGGCATTATATAAAACATTTCTGTATTTGCATTCATAAAAATTACTAACTCAAATAAAAAATGTATCTAAAACACAGACAATTCAAGTGTAAAACATGATATCATTTAAATGTGTTTGAACTTAAATTGAAGTTATTTGATAACAATTGATAATGAAATAAAAACTGCTGTATAACATAGTTGTATACTATTCCATTGCATAACCTTGCTTGTAACCATCAACATGAAAGCCAGGTTTTGCACATATTTATTAGTAATTGTATAATCACACTCCTAATGGTATCATGTGCTAACCCACTTTGATGAGAGAAAAATTGTAATAATATGTATATACTTGGTTAAAACTTACTGTATGTTATTTATGAAAGCTACCTCTGTATTCATTTTAGAAATTATTTATAGCTATTTCAAAAAAGACCCATTCTAATTTTTAAGCTTATGCTGCAATAAAGTCCACCATATGATTCCATAGTTTCAACTTAGAAACAGGAGTTTTTGTAAAGCGAAGAAGAACTGCCCAAGTTATTGCTTCAACAAAATAAGTATATAAGTATGGGAACTATTAAAATTAATTTACTACTTTTGTGGAGCATAAAATAAGTACAAAACCATGATTTAGTTAGGGTATTTATAGTCCTGTGATCAAGAAAGGCTTCTGATGTAATAGCTAAACTTTAGAAATTTACAATCCATGTAAGGAACTAGACTGTAATGAAGAAAATAATCACAGCTTTCATTTGATATATTTATAATTTTGTTAGTTTTAGAAACTTTGAAGTTGTAAAACAAAAAGTTACTGCTAGTTGAATTTTTGTTGTTTTGATGCAGAGTTTCAAAAATTCACTATTTTCAAGCTATTTAAGCTAGAAATAAACAACAAACATGGAGAGAGACCATAGAATTTTAGCTTTGTTTCATTTTGATGTTTTATCCATAAAAATTGAATTTTATATCTGGACATTTCATTCATAGTTTTATTTGAAGTGATTTGAGAGGAGTGACTTGATATATTGGTCTGGAAATAATCTTGAAACACCCGTGCTCCCACAATTAAGTGTTAACTTTAGACTTCAGTCTTGAGACATGCTCCTGTTACCTCAGTTAGTTAATAGGTTTAGGCCTCAGTTCTCATGGATCTGCGTGATAAGTTTAGATCCAGTCAATCAATGGTACAAAAAGATTTAAAGCTGAAAGAAATTGTAGTTCGTATCATTTGATATTTTGGAAATAAAGAGAAGAAGAAGAAAATGTTAGTTTGAAATCATTGAAATAGATAAAATAAAGTGCAAGATGTGTGATATGAATTAGTATTATGTTTTATTTAAAATGTACTAGATCTCATGTTATGTGATTTTATTTGTGTTTCACATATATGTGAAAATCTCTATTTCTTTAGTGATGGTAGATAAAAAACATATTGTAGTGTTAAGTAATATTTTCCTTGGCTCTTAATAGGATGTTCACAAGCATATTTTTTCATTTGTATGTTTCACAGTTTAACTTAAAAATTTGGATGTATATTATTACTTTAACTCAACCTACAATTACTGCAGTAATTTGCTTTTTTTCCATTTTTGATTCACAGTTAATAATTAATATTAATTATTTTAACATCCTTTCTTTTGTTTATGAAGAGGTTGTCTTATCTGTAGGTTCCAGTTGGCCACCCATCAGAAATTGATGAGATCTTTGATGATATTTCCTATAACAAGGGGGCTTCAGTCATTAGGATGCTACATCGATTTTTAGGAGATGAGGTAAGATTGAATCAGCTCAGAATATAGAAATCTCTTGTAATTCTGTCTCGTATCTTGTTCTGATTACAGATTTACTTTTGATCTCATACACTTAGCACTTGACCAACTAAAACCAGGGGGGAACAGTATTTGAATCCTAAGGTTTATGGGTGTGTTTGCAGGCTTATATCTTTTCTTGATATTTATTATTGTAACATTTTTTTAATAATAAATTAATATGTTAGCAAATGCAATTATGTAAGAAATTCTTTTAATGGAGTGTTTATATTTTAGCCATATGTTCTAGATCAAGGTAGATAGATCATAGAGATCCATTCAGTAATAAGAATTAATTTTAAATGGAATCATATAAAGGTACATGGCAACATTAAATTTTTAAAAATTTTGCCTGATCTCTCCAACCCCTCAGATCACCTACTGGATGAAAAATCGTATATAAATTTTATCAACATTTGGTTGTATAAAGTATTTAAAAAAATCCATATTGCTTACCCTAACTACATTTTGTGCTCCCTGACTAATTTTTTTTATTTGGAATGGACCAGAGATCAAACTTTCAGCACTTGAAATATAGATGCAAATCTGTCATTTCCAATATGGTACATTACCTCCTCTCACAGATATAGCTATTCTCATTCAGTGCTGGTCTCTATATGCAAAACTTTTTTCACAAGCCTTGAGCTCCCATGTATCCCATGATCAACGTGGTTCAATTACGTCTTGCATGTAAATCATCATGCGACAACCCTCCACCAATAGGAGTGCAACACACCCTCCTGATGCATGTGACTCCCTCTGTTCAATTCTACCAAACTTTTTTTTTTTTTTTTTGACACTTTCAATGTTGATTGAACTGTATTGTAATTTATTCTGAAGTATAATTGTTATTCTCATTTTTCAAACATTTGTGAACATAAGAATATCTTACTTTTCTTTTCTAGTTTTTCTTTTATTTATTCTATTAATTTATTCATGTGTTTGGTTATTCATCTTAAACAATGAATTCTGAAATCCAAGTTACCACTTTGGAGGTAATACCATCCACCAGCCCACTTACACATGTGGCAGTTGGGGGAATTTGATTAT